TAGTTAATAAGGGTAATATTCTTAATACTTAGCTAAAGAGGGATACACTCTATAAAATTAATACTTATAGCATACTAGTACTTAATTACTATAAAAAAGTATAAGAGGATGGTCTTAATATACTAGGTTCTAATAATTTAGTTGAGATTAATTTAGGTAATAATCCTTCTACTATTCAATACTTAGAACCCCTATCCTCCCCCCCCCGCCTACCTTAATAATTCTTTATAATTGAAATTAGCTCTCAAGTAGCCGCGTATATTAATATATAAATTATTAATTCTATAGATAAGCCCATCCCTAAATTTATTACTGATATTGTTCGTTATTTTAATATATAGACAATCAACACTATATTTGAAAACGAGAATACCCTTCTCAATAATAAGGATAATATTATTATAAATAAAATATATAATAATAATAAGGGAGGTGAGAAAGAGGAGGAGGAGGATTTGTTAATATACCCACTAATTAATTACCGTTTCTTTACACTACTACCCTCTACTCCCAAACCGCCTGCACGAACTAGGCCATCAACTTCAATACTAGCCCCCTTAAATCTATCAAAACTACAATCTATCGAGTTAATACTATACTAGGGGGTTATAAAGTATATCGAGAGTACTATAAAACTTCAATTACAAGTAAGAAAGTAAATTATACGTATTAAAACTATGCTAGTAAGGTAGGAGGTAGTAATAAAGAAAGTGCCGCCTATACCCAGACCAGAACCAGCGCCAGTACTAGTACTAGCGCTAAAAAAAGATAAAAAATAATTGCAACCTACTTATCTATTTACTTACTACCTAATTGAGCAATATACTAGATTTTTAACAGCTTCTAACAACGTTGTATTAATATGTAATATAGTAGTTTAGTATAGGGATGGGTTAGATTACTAGTAAAATTCTATGTGGGCTGTCCCAGATTAAAAAGTTGTCCCACAATTCCCCAACCCCCTACTTAACGAATAGGGGGGTTAAAAGCCTTGGCGCCCAGAACCCCCCAAGTAACGTGATCGTCTTCTCTTATTTTTCAATTGTTCCAACATTGACCCGGGGTCCCTCGTCGCTTCTTTCTCCCCTTACCCTGATCTACAACGGTTTTCATTCCATGTCATTTCCGACGTCCATTCCATCTCTTCCAAGACTTTTCAAGATCAAAGTCTGGAGGAATGACCTAAGGTCCAGGTGAGAGCACCAGACCTGGGAAGCGGGGAAACCTGCACTAACAAAGCTGTCGGGACGAAAAGCGAAAAGCCCGTCCGTCAGCACTGCTCTCTGTTGTTGCCCGCTGGAAGTCTAGCGCCAAGAGCCTCAACGCCGTCCAGGTCCCTCTTAGTTTGGTCTCAGTCTTGGTTCGGTCCAATCCCCAACACCAAAAGACAACACGCGATATCCGCAACCGAAGCAAAAGGAAAAAGGGGCAATATCAAGAAAGCACTGCAACACCCGCAATGTCTTGTGTCGCCAAAGTGAATCACCTCAGCTCGATACTGATGCTTTGCTCGTCTCAAAATGTCGTCCCTCCTTGTCCATGCATATGTGAAGGGCACACACCAGTAACGCCATTAACGCCACCAGATTGCGTTTTCACAACTACGTATCGCTATGCCTGTTGCTTGATATCCCCGTACCCATCCCCTTGAGTTCCGTTATATGCGATCGTAGGAGGTTCCGGGGAACCACACCACTGGCTGACGCCAATCTCCGGGCGGTTTACCATCAACCAAACATTTAAAATGTGGTTATTCATGCTTAATCTTATTTGAAAGAAAAGGGCGTTGGTGGTGATACACAAACACACAACAATAAACCGGCCCTCTTTGGTAGACAAGTGGTGTGGTACCTGTCGTCATCCATATGACAGCATAATGACCCAACCTCTAACAGTCGCATTGCTGATGGGGGTTCACAAAGCGGGTAGCTAGGCAGACCATAACTGAAACATGGTCATCGGTTTGTGCCTTCAGTTCCTTTTCGAGAATCGGGGGTGGGATGGGTCCTATTTATCTCGAGACACTTGACGCCATCAACATCCCTTTTTGACCAAAAGCTTTCTGACCAAAAGCTTTCTGACCAAAAGCAGCGGGGGAGGTGCAACATCGAATACGAAGGACCGAAGGACGAGAAGCCGGCGGTAAACATGGCTCTGGCGGATGACAAGTCCGCACCGCTCATCCCAACAACCGTACAAAGCACCCAGTGACATGATCTCGTGATGCTTCTTCGTGGCAGTCCACCGCCAAGGATCGAGTCCAATGGGCTCAGCTTATCAGCTCGGTTCACGTAGCAAGCTCGAGGAGCTACCGCAGAGGCGGGTATCATTAAGCCATAACAACACGTGCGACCGGCCATCGTCAACGGTCGTTCTGTTCGTGGTGGAGATGAGGCAATGCCGGAGGACAAGGGGGAGGCTGGCCAAACCGCTGGCAATCCGATGCGACTGTAGCATTCAGAATGGATCCTCCCTCCAAAACCCACAGCGCAAACACCCGCTCCTGCATGCGAAGCCGTGTGTGGCTTGAGTTGATGCATGCACTACTAACACTAAGAGTTATCAGTGGCCGCGGCTACTGTAATTGACAGACACCAAGGGATAACCAGCGAGGGAATTCTCAAAACAAACATCGTGATCGCGACAACCGCAGCAACTGGACGACGCAAGAAATTAAAGACTCGATTGATCTTGTACGCGTCTGCTGAGCTTGCTTGACGGGTAGCCGCATCCCGTCTCCATCCCTCGATGCTTCCATCCACCCGACGGCTTCATCCACAGATCGAATACCTCTAGTGTAAGTGTTAGTGCCTGTTAGTGCTGGCACTTGTTAAACACCGACGCAATTTCATTTCCCCGGCCTTCCTTTCAACCTTTCGTCTTTTCAAAAACCGAATATCCAATGGCTAAGATGTATTCAGGCTCATCCGGACAACGTCCCGGATCGACCTCTTTCCCCTTTCAATCCAGGCAAACCATATTGAACACCAGAAAACCTGCGTGCAAGGGCATGGAGGGATGTTATTACGATCGGGACTCGCGCTACATCAGTTCATTGGGGACCCAAGTACATGGCGGCCACGAGAACCAAGGTTGACAGCTCAACTATGTTGTTCGTGACAGTGACTGCATTGAACACGTCGAAACAAACAAAGCCGAGACTACCTCTACCTCTACTTGGATAGCATGGCGCAACAGGGATCCCGAATCGGTAGGAATCCAGAACAGTACAGGGGGGCTCTGGTAGTGTACACTAACAGACCGGGGTAGGTGTAAGACTGGGGGGTTGTTAGGATACCTTCCAAGAGTGTCAGCATCTGACACAGAAGCGGTCTAGACGGATATAATCATCGAGTCAACTTAAGCTTATACGAGTCCTCATCCATTCCTCTGGCATCGGCACCTTCGGGGCGCCAGTGGGCAGAGACATGGCCAAGACAAGCGAATCTAAGAGAAAACACAGACCGCCAAGTCTCAGCATCACGATACTTGCAGTGGTGGAAGAGATACGTACTCTTCCCTTTCCTACCTCTAAGACGGAAGCTAGATCTCTGCCTCAGGTCCACGGGCCAAGAGAGGCTTCAAGCCACCAATCCGATCTGTGGACTCGACCCAGGATAGTTGAGAACGCTCGGGACAACGCCGGATATTGCAAACCACCCACCACCCGCATGTTCACCATGTTCACCAGCAAGAGGGTGTAGTCACCTCTAAGTAATGTAGGTGTAGTGTGTAGAGCTAATTTTCGAACCGCGTATCTCGGAAAAGTTCCAGGTTTCCATGCTTGTTCTTCGGCCAAGCAGCCAACACCCTCCCGGAAGGCGCTAGTCGATGGTGTTTGATATCAGCCGGCTCCTTCCTGAGGTGGCTTTCGTTGCTTCGCATGCGCGATGGCGGCGGACTATCAGACTAGAGGTAACAGGGAAGGACGGAAGGAACGAATGCTGGTGTGTCTCCTACTCTACTGACCAGACCACGCCATGCAGTGCAGTGGGCCAAGCCATGAGGAGTGCCGCCATCCACTCAATGCTCACTCCGTCACAATTCAATGACTCCATCGTGCCTTCTTTTTCTTACCTCCTTCCCTTGTCCATATGAAGTGGAAAGCATTACTAGACTGCCATCTCCCCAATTCCACGACCACTCAGTTTTGGCCCTTATCCTCTCTTCATTTTTCTCCTTTCTGTCATTATTTGATAACCACAACTAAGCATCTTTTACTCGACGACATCCAGCAGTATCTTAATCTCAGACCTGGAACTAATACCCGATCCCCATCACAAATCCCCCGCAACTTGACCGTTGGCCAGATCTTCCTCACGCAGAGATCATCATCATAATTACATAATTTTTTGTTGTTGTTTTGCTTTTGCTACTCCTCGCTGCAGCGATCAACCGGCTACCGTACCATTGCCGACTCGGCTATCCTCGCTATCCTCGCCTCCCGCCTCACTTCCTTTAACATACCTACTGCGGGACACACGACTCGGAGGTAAAGACACCAAGGACACACCTGGCATCTTGGGCGGCTTTGATCTCTCCGTCTCCGATCGTAACGGCTTTTACTTTTCAAGTGCTCCACCTGTTCATCCCGACCGAATCGCCAAACGTTCGTTAACCGCCTGAAACCGCACATTGCAGCGTCACCATTGCTTCTTGATTTCGTTTCCGCGTCATCATCACACCGCTGGTGCGGGCATCAGTCCAGAGCAGACGAGAATTCTTGTGCCGGTGTTTCACTGCAGCAGTCTGGAGTGCAAAACAAAAGACAGCAACCGGCAGACAAAGCAGGGATCGTCGTGGTCCAAGGACAAGCAGACGTTCAAGGGTACCAACCGCTTTGTTCAACCATAGCATCCCGGTAAAGCCGTTGAACCACTGCATCTGCTGCCCGCACACACGTCCCTAGCCGACAGACGCATCAGCCCATCAGGACATCATCGCCTGTTGATCGAACAGCACCCGAGCTCGAGGAACACAGGGACAGATAGACAGACACTATGGGTGCCCACGCTCCAGTCGTCTCCTCGACCTCCGTGGTCGAGATAGATAAAACCCCTCCTCCCTCGCAGCAGACGACATTCCTGCTGTCACCACCATCAGAGAAGAAAGCTGGCCTACATCCTGTCTCAGTCTCGATTACCCCTATCCCACCTCCCACTCCTACCACCAAGTACACCCTTTCTCATACCCACTCTCATCAGTCGAGCACTTTGACGGCCGTTGGAAGAGGCTCCTCCAGAGGCATCATGGCCCCCTTTGCCAACATGTCGCACCCCTTGCGCACCAATCTTGTCTTTGGGATAGGCGAGTTTGTCGGAACCTTCTTGTTCTTGTTCTTTGCCTTTGCTGGGACACAGGTCGCCAACACGGCTCCGGCCAATGCCGCGAAACTACCCTCGACGAGCAACCTGCTGTACATTGCCTTCGCTTTTGGGTTCAGCCTGATGGTGAACGTTTGGGCCTTTTTCAGGGTTACCGGCGGTGCTTTTAATCCTGCTGTAAGTGTTTTACTCTTTCCCATTTTCCCAGACCATAAAACATACTAACATACGTATCATAGGTTACGCTCGCACTTGTCCTCGTTGGTGGTTTCCCCGCCGTTCGTGCTGCCATTGTCATCGTTGCTCAGATCCTGGGCGCCACTGCGGCTGCTGGGTTGGTTCAAGTGATTTTCCCCGGTCCGTTGGCTGTGGAAACTACTCTGGGAGGCGGAGCGACTGTTGCTCAGGGCTTCTTCATTGAGCTATTCTTGACGTGCGAGTTGGTCTTTGTCATTTTGATGATGGCCGTCGAGAAACACCGGGCGACGTTTGCTGCTCCAGTAGCCATTGGCCTGTCTTTGTTCCTGTCTCAGTTAGTCGGTAAGTTCTTTTTCCTTCTCTTTCCACTTTTCCAGATCATATGCTCACGGTCGATCAACAGGCGTCTACTTTACCGGCGGCAGTCTCAACCCTGTCCGCTCCCTCGGCCCGGCCATTGTCAACCGCCACTTCCCTGGATACCACTGGATCTACTGGCTGGGTCCCGTGCTCGGTGCTCTCCTGGCTTGCGGGTTTTACAAGCTGTTGCAGGCCCTCCGGTACCACGATATCAACCCGGGTGCGGACGGCGACGGTCGTGACGACCTTGAGGGTGCCCGTCACGCGCATCAAGATGGATTGAAACACACTCCTACCAACCTTACGCAACCCCTCGCTAATGGCGAGACGGCCGCACTCCACAACCAGCCGGCGCAGGTACCGAGGGAGGAGTTGTGATGGCCCAAAAGACGTGGGGGGCAATGATTGGTGATTCCTGAGTGGGTGCTGCTGTTCGTGTGTTACCAACAAGTACTTGCTTGGCTTTTTTTTCTTTTTTTTTTCTTTATTGTTTTTGGATAACCTTTGGCGTTGGGATTAGAATGGATGCCTCTTCTTCCTTGGACGGAACGGATACTTGAATTCTTGGTCGGGACGGGAAATGGACAATGGATAACGGACCCCTGAGTAATGACCATGAAAAGGGCACCTACAATGCGACCGGACCTATAGTATCAGGGCCCCCTTGTGGCCAGGCTAGTATTACCTACTACCTACTACCTAGTACTACGATAATGATCAGTATCAATTAGAAAAATAATGATTTGGTGAGAAGAAGGGTACACAGACTGACCTTTGTGTTGCGTGACCGTTGCTGGAGATGGACTACTAGTAGTTGGCGGTGGTTTTCAGGGTGAGAGCGATATCGATCCGTGAACAGGTGTAACCAGCAAAAATAAAGAAAGGAAGCAGCAGACGAGAACTGTCAAAAGACAAGAAAAGGGGCCATGAATTGCATCCGTTCCGTATTTCCAAAATGCGAACAACAAGGACGCGTTTGGGGTATCCGTAGCGTAGGTGTGTACAGACCAAATAACCAAACAACAAGTAAGTATGCTGTACAACATGTTTGTAGTATGTGGATCGATGCGAGAGAGGAAGGGAACCAGCACCCTTCCTCCGTCTTTTTGTCTCCCGGTGAACCCGAAAATGTCCAGATCTATCCAACTGCTCTTCGCTAAAGCCAACTCCAGCTCCTCCTTTTCTCTTCACCTCCCTCCTCTTTCTTGTCAGATTCAGACAGACAGACAGACCTCCTCTAGTCTAACCCCTTCCACCATTATAATCAGCGCCCCCCGCCTTTCGTAGTCTCCGCACAATCTCCTCCTCGTCAATGTCGCGCACCTCGCTCGCATCCACCGTGATACTGTGATGCGCCAGCACGCGCTTGACCTCCCCGGATTCGATGGACACACGCGCCTTGCGCATCACCTTGGTCTGCTCGCCGATCCAGATGATGAGGGCAAACTTGACGCGCACCGACTCGGCGTCGTTGGCGTACTGGATGCGCACGTATGCGTATTGCACTTCGGTCGGCGACAGGTGGGATAAGAGCTCGGGAATGCCGCCGGAGCCGGTGGCTTTGAGAGAGAGGGTTTGTGTGGTGGGCGAGGCGTTGGACAGGAGAAGCCAGTTCTCCGGCGAGCGGTCGGAGCGGACGGCGTCGTAGGCGGTGAGGATTTCGGGGGAGGAGAGGGACATTTTGGCGTGTGGTTTGGGGGGCCGTGGGTGTGGTGGTGTGGTGGTGTAGTAGTGGTGGTTGTACGTGGTTATCACCGCGGTTGTTGTGGTAGTTTGGGAGAGGACCTCGAAAAGGGGGTTGCTTCGGGGTTCGGAGTATCGGTCGGTCGCGTTGCCGTCAAGGCCCGTGTGGAAAGTAGGTAGGATTAGGTAGGTATATTAAAAGGTGGTATTGGCAATCCGGGGGGAGCCGTCAATTGACCGGTGGGTGGTTGTTTGTTTGAAGGAGTCCGGAGACGGAAGACGGTGACCTTGTCGGAGTGAGGTGGTGTTAAAGGGGGGGAAGACGGGAAGGGGGGCCGCGTCGGATGTCGTGTGCCACGTTGGCGAGGAAGGGGAAGGGGAAGCTCCCCCCGGGCCGTCCGTTAAATTGTTAGTGCACCCCGCCAAGCTGGAACCAGGGGCAGCTTCAGCGGGAAGACGGCATGTTTCAGGGGCTGGCCCGCTGACGGACGGGAGACTTGACCTGGGAGGAGGTCCAATTGGAGGGGTGTCTCTGGTCTTGGCAGCTGCGTGCCTTGAAACAGCTGGCACGTGATCACCCTGAGAAGCTCATTGCCAGCTGACAGGTCGTCGTCCGGGTTGAGTCCCTCTTCCACCTTTCATCGTCATCACCAACTAGACTACCTACCTACCTCTAGCCAACCAAACGACTCGACCAAAAACAGGCTGACGGCCACCAAATCACTACGATAGCGACAGCTGAAAGCACACGACAGCCCAGCTTCACGTCGCACTTCACACGCTAATCAATTATCATCCGAATTCTGCGCCGTCGTGCTCTACACCATTCATGCCCGTTATATTGTCCAATTGATTCGGCTTCGTTATCATCAAAAGCTAGAATACAAACCCATTGTTCCACCGTCCTTGTCCAGTTCCATTATCACGGCTCTTAGTATGGTGTTTTCTCGACTGTCCAACTATCGCTTTCCCATCTCTGTGCTCAAAACTATCTACCTATCTAACACAGCCAATGCCCGCATAGGACTAACACCATTTATGTACAGTTCCACCACGACGCCAATGACATTGAATAATCACTGATCATCGCCAACTGGGCTGATTGACTATCACAAGTGGAGATGGCTGCTCACGATCCCAGCAAGCAAGGGCTCCTCGGCTCCACGTCCACCGAGCATCACGCCGATTACTCGTCCGACTCCGACGACAACGTCAACATCAACACCACTCCCAAACGTCCCACCCCCAGACAGAAACAACAGCGAACACGACGCACCCGGCCCACCAACCCAGCACTACCAACCTTCCAACCACTGCCCACCCGCAAATCATGGCTAGCGAGACGCAGCAGGTACTGCCTCATCTTCGCCGCCTTCGGGCTCATCCTCTTCGTCATCCTCCTCGTCGGGGGAGGTCTAGGATACAAGGCTGCTCTCCAAGAACCTCCCTACGGCCTCTCACCACCATGGTATCCTTCTCCAAAGGGTGGCATAGCCGGTACCTGGTATGAGTCCTACCAAAAGGCTGCCAAACTGGTGTCCAAAATGACCCTGGCCGAGAAAGTCAACATCACCACCGGCGTCGGCTGGCAAATGGGTCTGGCAGTCGGCACCACCGCCCCTGCTGTGCTCGTCGGCTTCCCTGCTTTACAACTACAGGATGGACCGCTGGGTATCCGAAATGCGGACAACATTACTGCTTTCCCAGCCGGAATCACCGTCGGCGCGACCTGGAATCGTCAACTGATGTACGCCCGTGGTAAAGCACACGCCATTGAGGCCCGTGCCAAGGGGGTAAACGCCATTCTCGGCCCCTGTGTCGGTCCTCTTGGTCGCATGCCCGCCGGCGGTCGCAACTGGGAGGGTTTTGGCTCGGATCCCTACTTGCAGGGCATCGCGGGCGCGGGAACGATCAAAGGCATCCAGTCCGAGGGCGTCATGGCGACCGTCAAGCATTTCATTGCCAACGAACAGGAACACTTTCGCCAGCCGTGGGAGTGGGGGTTGCCGAATGCTATTTCCTCCAACGTGGACGACAGGACATTGCACGAGTTGTATGCCTGGCCTTTTGGCGATGCGGTCAAGGCGGGCGTGGCCAGCGTCATGTGCTCATATAACATGGTCAACAACAGCTATGCGTGTGGGAACAGCAAATTGCTGAATGGGATCCTCAAGGACGAGCTGGGCTTCCAGGGGTTTGTCATGAGTGATTGGCTGGCGCAAAGGGCAGGAGTCAGTACGGCGTTGGCGGGGTTGGATATGACGATGCCGGGTGATGGACTCAGGTGGGCGAATGGCAAAAGTCTGTGGGGGAAGGAGTTGAGCAAGGCGGTGATGAATGGGAGTGTACCGGTGGAGAGGATAGATGATATGGCTACGAGAGTGGTGGCGGCTTGGTATCAGATGGGCCAGGATAATGAGGAAAAGTGGCCAAGGGATAAGGGGCCGAACTTTTCGAGTTGGACGAGCGAACAGATGGGGGTGGTTAGCCCAGGGAGCCCGACGGAGCAGCAGACGGTGGTGGTTAATCAGTTTGTGGATGTGCAAGCGAATCACTCGGTTATTGCGAGGCAGGTGGCGGCTGAGGGAACGGTGTTGTTGAAGAACGAGGGTCCGGTCTTACCACTTAGCCGAGCGGGACTTCGCAAACGCCAAGACGCCAACAACACCCCCGACAGGGTCAAAATCGGCATCTTTGGCGAAGACGCCGGTCCCTTGCCCGGAGGTCCCAACTCCTGCCCAGACCGCGGCTGCAACCAGGGCACTTTGGGATCCGGCTGGGGTTCAGGGGCTGTGGAATTCCCATACCTGGTCACACCTGTCGAAGCTCTCCGCAAGCAGTTCGACTCGTCAAAGGTTGAGCTGCACGAGCATCTATCCAACCAACTTCCTTTTTCACTTTCTGAAAAGGCCGTGATCGATGACCTTGACCTTTGCCTCGTCTTCGTCAATGCCGATGCCGGCGAGGGCTTCAAGGCGTGGGAAAACGTCCGTGGTGATCGACCTGATCTCTTCTTACAGAAGAACGGCGATGCTTTGATCCAGGAAGTAGCAGCTAGGTGCGGAGGCGGGTTTAGTGATGTCGTGGTCGTCATCCATGCCGTCGGCCCGGTAGTGATGGAGCGCTGGATCGATCTCCCCCAGATCAAAGCCGTTGTGTTCGCTAACCTTCCCGGTGAGGAGTCCGGAAACGCTTTGGTGGACGTGCTGTTCGGTCATGTCAATCCCTCCGGCCATCTTCCCTTTACTATCGGCAAATCGTTAGAAGACTATGGACCAGGCGGACAGGTCCTCTACCTCCCCAACGGCGTCGTCCCGCAGCAGAATTTCAGCGAAGGGCTGTACGTCGACTACCGATGGTTTGACAAGAAGGGCATCACCCCCCGCTTCGAATTCGGCTACGGCCTGAGTTACACCCCTTTTGAACTCGGTAACGCCACCGTCAAGACTATCCGGCCCAAATCCGCCCTACCTTTTCCTCGTCTTGATGCGCTTGTGGAACCGCCCACCTACTCAACCGACATCCCTCCGGTCGAAGAGGTCCTCTGGCCTGAAGGCGACAAGGAGATCAGGAGGTTGGACAAGTACATCTACCCGTATCTCTCTGCAGATGAAGCACACAACGCTGTGGCGTCCAGAAAAGGAGGCAAGAAGTATCCTTATCCTGATGGCTACGACACCCCCGCACCCTTGAGTCAAGCAGGCGGTGACGAGGGTGGGAACCCCGAGCTCTGGGCGGTTTATGCCCAGGTGACAGTGGACGTGCGGAATACGGGCAAGGTAGCGGGTTCCGTGGTGCCGCAGCTGTATCTCTCTTATCCTGATTCTCCGAAGGAGTCTGCAAATGGAACGGTGGAGGTGGACTTTCCCGTCAAGGTACTAAGGGGGTTCGACAAAGTCTACTTGGAGGCGGGCAAGTCGGCAAAGGTGGAGTTTAACTTGACGAGAAGGGATCTGAGTTACTGGGATGTTGAGGTGCAGAATTGGGTGATGATTATGGAGGGGGAGTATACTTTCCATGTGGGACAGAGTAGTAGGGATTTGCCGGTGTCTGTTACATGGTAGAAGGAGGACTGACTGCGGATTACCCCAATAATATGAGATGATGTGATGTAGTTTTGGCTTGATGTATAATTCTTTGAACAATTGATCGTTTGATTACTTTCTCTATTGACATGGTTTGACAAGGTAGTGGCAATGCTCGCCTCACCTCAGTTTTCTTGTCAACCTATCTTTCCATCAATGATGTTCTTTTTGTTTCTCCAGCTGTATGGCCATTTATTAAGCTACCAACCCAACCTGCCTTTTGTCTCCTCGCGTCTCACTGCCTTTCTGTTCACACACCATAGGTAATCACTTGCTTGACCGAAATGGATTGATTGATTGAAGGGTTGTTATTTGCAGAGTTGTCTGGGCGCAAGAGGAAAGAAATGCTGTCCAAGTCAGACAAACGATGGATTGATGTCGGGGTACGTACCTCCTAGAAGTGGGGAAATCCTGTACACTAAGTCAGACAGAGACCCAATGCCAGAAAACACACCCAGGGGTGAATGAACGAACAAAGCCGAAATGGGAAAATGCACTGCCCCGACTGGCTGCATGATTGGTTGGCTCATGGCTTTGAGTGGAGCATGTCGGATGCCCCATTGTCATACCCCACCTTCAGCCCACCGGGTACCACAGATCGTGATCCACTTCTGTAACGAGGGGGGGGGAGTGCCCTGAAAGGGACCACCCGGGACCCGACGTCTATTTCTTTGCCTCCTTCTTGTCTTCTTCTCCCGATTGACTTTCTCTTCCCTTTCCCATCAACCACAACACTCCAGTCTGGTGACTCGGACTGGCAACCCCCTTTGCATTTAACCCCTTCAAGACAATCTTCTCCCGGCCTCGATCGAGAGGCCGTCCATACTCTGCAAGAATGGCCGCCGCAGCATGCTCAGCAGCCGCCAGCGTCCGCGTCTCGGTCTTCTTCTTCCAGCCTGCAATACTCGTTGC